GGCACCATTCCCTCCTCGACCATGTGCACCTGCGCTCTGCACAAGTGCCAGAGGCCAGGGGCCCCTTTGTCTTAGGGAAGCCAGCTCCACAACCAGAGTCTCAGCGCTCCTGGGGTGTTTCTGCCCTGTCCTGCTTTGAGTGCTGAGCAGATGATGGTCTCAGTCTCTCTTTCTCACTGCTTTCTCCATCCCCCCTGTCCAGGGACCGCAGGACAGCCCTCCCACCCTTGTGCTCCCTGACTGCCCAAGATGCCCCCAGAGAAACCAGGATCTATCCCGCAGGCCGGACTCTTGCTATGAGGAAGGAAATCCGTGAACTCTTCTCCTTGGACAAAGCGTAGCTTTTCAGGTGGCTGGGAACACACAGAAGTCTGGTTGGGTTTGGAGCCCAGCAGGCTCCACCTTGGCCCAGCCCTGAGGCCTCAGGCTGAAGAAATACTACTGTACCCTCTCCTTTACACATTCCTTTAATAATATTTATGGTGTGTGCCAAGGGTAAGTTGGAATTTAAACACCCCTTAACATTGAAAGAATAACAGCTTTAAGATATAATTGACACACTGTATACAATTCACTTTTGTGAAGTAAGTAGCTCAGTGGTCGTTGAGCTATTCAGAGTTGCACTGCCATTGCCACCTTCTAATTTTAGAACATGTTCATTACTCCAGAAGAAAACCCTGTGTCTATTAGGGGTCACTCTCCAGTCTCCCTTGCCGTGGGTCTCTATGGATCTGTCTATTTGAGACACTTCATACTAATGGAGTCATGACATGTGGCTTTTGTGATTAGCTTCTTTCATTTAGTATGTTTTTCACTACAGTTTTATCCACGTTGTATCATGCCTGCATCCTTCCTTTCTTTTTATTGCCGAATAGCCCTCTGCTTTGCGGATATACTATATTTCACTTATCATTTGACTGACATTCAGTTTGCCTCTACTTTTTGGCTGTTGTGACTGATGCTGCCATGAACTTCCTCATACAAGTCTTCACCTAGACATGTGTTTTTGTTTCTCTTGGACACAAACTAGGAGTAGGGTCATAGGCTAACTCTGCTGCACATTGTGGGGAGCTGCTAAACTTTCCCAAGAGGCTGCCCCATTTGATCCCCACCAGCCACGTATGAAGGTCCACACTCCTTATGTTCCTTTTTTTTAATAGTTGCCCTCATAGGTGTGAAGAGGTATTTTCATGCGCATCGATTTCCCTGACGGCTGATGCTGTTGAGTAACTTTTCATTCACTCCTTGGCCATTCTGGTGTTGTCTTTGGAGAAACATCTATCCAAATCCTTTGCTTATTTTGAAATTAAGTCATCCTCTTATTGTTGAGTTGTAAGAGTTCTTTACATATTCTGGATACAAGTTCCTTTCGGATGCCTGTTGAGTTTTGAGAGACATCTAAATCAAGGTTGGCGCAGGTGTTGCTTTTTGAAGACTCTGTACCGTGTTGCAAGGTGACAGAAAACTTGCAAAGAATGCATTCCATTCCACACAGACCCCAGAGGAAGAATACACTGTAGAACGGTCCTTGGAGGTGGCTCACTGCTCAGTTCTACCCATTTCAAATCCTGCTGAAGAAGAGTCACGGAGCCCTGGTGGGCTGCAGGGTTAGGGTTACAGACTGGTTAAGGTGTTGGAGGCAGAATCACAGGAGGGGCTTTTCTTTCTTTTTGAAAGCATAGGCTTTCATTTTTTTGGCAAATGAGATGGTACATTAAAAGCATTGTGGAGTTGTAAAGGGATATGCAAATATAAGATGACATTCTTATTGTTACTATTGTTTGTGGGAACCAATGAAAATCGTGTCTTGGATGAAATCACAGAGCACAAAGCCTGCGGGGGTGGGGCAAGCTGGCAGGATGGGGGTGGGAGGGAGAAAGCTAAAGGAGAGAAGAGAGAAAGAATCAGGGTTGGCACACCTGGGAGTGTGGGGGGGTCGGGGGTACGGGAGAGAGACCTTCGTGATTTCTGGCTCATTCCTTTACCACCTGTATAATAATTTACTTAATACTTTTCTTTAAGTAGGCTCTTAATTCTTTTAAGTAAAAGTAAACAGATGTGTTCATAAAGGAAAGTTTGTGTCGCAGTTATGTTACCAACCTGCATCACGTTCCCAACAGAATGGACGAAAAAAAACCAGTGTTATTTAAGTCTCTGGGTCCTGTTGCCCTCTGGGCCCTCTCAGCCTGCCTCGCCACATGTCACTCAAGTCCTTGCTGTGGTGGCACCTCTGCTGGAGGCTGTTCTGGGCTCCAGAGGCTCCCGCTCAGCCAGCACCAGCCTGGTCCTGGCCTTCCATCTGTAGTCGCACTAAGTTACCCGTGGACCGAGGCTCCCAAAGTCACGAACGGGCTTGTGAGGGTCACATGGCAGGCAGTCTTTGCTGTATTGGGCCAGGCTCTGACCCAGCTCCACTGTCAGTAAATAGGGGTTGAGTCAGGAGCTAAGAGCTCTGAGGTGCAGGGCCCTTCTCTCCTTTGTTTTTGTCATCCTTGTTTTAGCAAGCGTCACCCGAGTGTTAAAGACACAACCTGCAGGTGCCAAGCTGTGGCTTGCACCTCGTGTAATCGGGAGGCAGAGGGAGGCCGCCTGCCAGGCTGTGATCACGAAGGTGCCCGGCTTCCCCATCCCATGCCTTGGGAATCACCCACCTCAACAACCTCACAACCTTGCCAGCTTTCTCCTTCCGGGGGGGAAGGAGCCAGAACCCTCTGCCCACCTCCTGGAGCTGCTGTGGCTGTGAACAGACCCGGTTTCGGCAGACTCGCCGGGCGGCTGGAAGCCGCTCAGGACATGACAGCAGAACATCGAGAATTTCGCGGAAGATGGGACTGAATTCGGATTTGCCTGAAGAAGTCCTACTCTTCCTTCCACGGTCCAGCTTTTTTCTTTCCTCTCTTACTCCAGCTCTCTTCTCTCTTTCCAGTACTGGTGATTGAACCCAGGGCCTTTGTACTAAGTTACATCCCCAGCTCTTTTTCATTTTAAAATTTTTGATACATCCTGTCTCTCAGTCTCTAAGCTGCCCAGGCTGAGCTCAAGCTTTCACCCTTTTTACCTGAGCCTCCCAGAGTTTGGGGATTACAGGTGTTTGCCCTCATGCCTATCTCAGTCCCAACTTTTAAAAGTAATAATACTATTTACCCTCTTTTGAGTACGCCGTAGGTGTCGAGTATCTTGCAAAAACCAGAGCTTTACTCGTATCATTTTATTTCCCCCTTGCACAAAGTAGGGATTTACTAGTTCCATTTCACAGATGAGGGAAACTGAAATTTACAGTCATTTTCTGAATTGCTCAAGGTGCTGTAGCAAGGAAGTACACAGCCAGGGGTTCAGTATTTCAAAGCCCAACCTGGTATGGTGGCACATACTTGCGATCCCAGCACTAGGCAGGCTGAGGCAGGAGGATCCCTGTGAGTTCGAGACCAGCCTGGGCTACATAGTGAGTTCCGGGTCAGACTCAACTACATAGTGAGACCCTGTCTCAAAAAAACCAAACAAACAAACAAGCAAAAAAATCAAAGCCCGGCCTATCAACTACCACATGTTAACAGCCACTTAAATGCCATGGTCATCATGAGGACTTCCTGCCCAGCAGTCATACTGTGCTGTCACCTCCAGTGCATCAGCCTCCATCCCCTGAGCCGAGTCCCTGCACACTGTAGATGGGACACTACGGTCTGCGGGGTGAATGAAGGACTAGGGCTCTGGGTTTTTTTCTGCCAGCTGGGTCTCTGTAGAGGACAGAGAGTGTGTGCAGCTGCCCTCCCAGAGCTAGGCAAGCTCCTTTGGGAAGCCCCTGGGCTCTTTACCTAAGGCAGCGTGGGAAGGGTGTGCCCTAGACCAAGAACCCAGCACTGTCTGGTGAGGGTGGGTTTCCTGCTCTGCCCCTACAGCCTGGGCCATAGTGAGTTCCGGGTCAGACTCAACTACATAGTGAGACCCTGTCTCAAAAAAACCAAACAAACAAACAAGCAAAAAAATCAAAGCCCGGCCTATCAACTACCACATGTTAACAGCCACTTAAATGCCATGGTCATCATGAGGACTTCCTGCCCAGCAGTCATACTGTGCTGTCACCTCCAGTGCATCAGCCTCCATCCCCTGAGCCGAGTCCCTGCACACTGTAGATGGGACACTACGGTCTGCGGGGTGAATGAAGGACTAGGGCTCTGGGTTTTTTTCTGCCAGCTGGGTCTCTGTAGAGGACAGAGAGTGTGTGCAGCTGCCCTCCCAGAGCTAGGCAAGCTCCTTTGGGAAGCCCCTGGGCTCTTTACCTAAGGCAGCGTGGGAAGGGTGTGCCCTAGACCAAGAACCCAGCACTGTCTGGTGAGGGTGGGTTTCCTGCTCTGCCCCTGCAGCAGTCAGGGTAAGAGGAGCGCTGTGTGTCTCTGGGTCAGGGCTGGTGGCTGCTCTGTTGGAAGTCTAGGATGCTGCCCTGTTCTCGATAGGTTCCTAACAACACCCTGACTCACCTCTGTGTGGTGTCCCTTTATTAGAAACTCTTCCTGATTTCAGTACACCTCCTCTAGGGACCCTGATAGATGGCCTGGAATGTCCTTTTCTGTGCCTTTCTGTGTCCTTTAGGCCAGCTTTGAAGCCAAGGTGTATCTTTTGCATCCCACACCTGGCACAGGACTTGGGACCTGATTCTAGCATTTATTGAGCACTTACTATGAGCCAGTATTGGTATCTGCATTGACTCAACTAATCCTCAAAACGGTCCTGATCATCATCCCCCTGCACAGAAGAAGACACTGAGACACACGGGTTGAGGACCTTGCCTCAGGCCAGCCACGTGGTCAGCTGGGCTGTGTGACTCCTTAGCTGATAGTGTGACTCTCAGGACTGCTTTTCTCAGAAACTGTCTTTCTGTTTGTGGTTTGGGGGGTGATGTCTCTTTGTCCGAGGAACCAAAAGAACTTGTTTCTTTGTCATCCCAGGGGTAGAAGTTGGAACTGGGTTACCATGGCAACCAGATCAACTGGTTGTAACACGGGATGAGCCCCTGGGGCTCTGGGTTCTGCAGCTGGCAGAGGGGAGGTTGCGTTGGCATGGGCCAGTGTTTGAGGTACCAGATGCACTGGGAGGACCTGGAAGAGTACCAGGTAGGTGGAGCAGGAGCAGGTGGGAGCTTCCCAAGGCAGGTGGGATAAAAGGGAGAACTCGCCCAAGGCACAAGGGTTTGTCCGGGAAGGCAGTGGTGGCTCTTGCTTTCAGGGAACCTGCCACCATGTGGGCCATCCCGTGTCTCCTGACCCGGAGCCCACAGCGTTGGCTTTGTCCCCGACCCCCATTCCAGGTCTGTGCTGCATGGAGAGGAGGGAAAGAGGCCACGTCTTCTTCCCAGCTCTCTTGGGCTGCGACCCCCAATTCCTCGGCCGTGAGATGAGAGTGTGGGCTTTTCCTCCCCTCCTCCAGTGCTCTCTGACTCTCCCAAGGGGCCAGGGCAGGGCTGGACTGAGTGGCAGTCGCCTCTCTGATTTGTTGCAGGCCTTGACCTTCCTGACCAGAAATGAAATTCTGTGGTGAGTAGAGGGACGGGTCCCACTTTCTCTCCCGTGTGCTAGCTCTTTCCCTGGTTCAGCCTCGCCCTGGTCTGTCCCTGCTCAGAGCCACGCAGCCTTGGTGCAGCATCTGGGGCAGGCACCACGCCTGGATTGGAAGCAAGCATCGGGTCACTCTGCTTTAACGTCTACCTCAAACCCTCCCTCCCTCTCTGTCATTATTATTATTTTTTGTACTAGGGAATGAACTCAGGGCTCTGACCCTTTCCTTTACTTTTTATTTGAGGCGTGGTCACTCTGAGTTGCTCAGGCTGGGGCTTGGACTTTCAGTCCTTCTGCCTCAGCTGCTCTGAGTACTGGGATCGCAGGATCGTCCCCCCCACCCTGACTCAGGCGGGTTTCTCTGTAGAACCATGGAGCTGGCAGGGCCTTCTCCTCGAAACAAGGAGGAAAAGGAGGGAATAACTCAGGGAAAGCAGGGTTGAAGCCCATTTTGGCCATTCCCTCACTGGCTGGTTAACTGTGACGCCTCGTGGATGCTCAGCCTGGCCTCTGTCCCGTCTGGCCCGCCCAGGCCTCCCTCCAGGCCCTGAATGTGCTGTGTGCGACGGAGGCAGTGGGTTGGGGTGAAGGTAGGGAAGGCTCCTGGCCAATGACAACTTTCGCCATCGTGGAGGTGCCACAAATGCCCCCACATGGGGTCGTGGATGGGATGAGATGTGTGGCATGCATGACTGAGCCTGGTGCTCAACAGCCTGTTAGATAAATAAATTTCCAGGGAAGAGGGAGGACTCTGGCCTGAGTCCCTGTCATTCCCCTCATCCTCTCTGCCTGGAGTAATCCTCTCCAGGAGGCCACAGCGTGAGACTCTCCAGCTACAAAGAGGAAAGCGTGGTGAGGAGCAGTGTCGATCAGGGGCAGTCACGGGGCCGTGTGATTTTTCTCTTAGAAATAATGTTCTCACATGTTTAAAAAATAGAAAAAATATGACAATATCCCAAACAACCCATGTCCCACTACCCATAGAACCCCATCGGTATTTTCTAAGAAGGTAATGCGTGAATAAAAGTAAAATGACATGTGAACATGGTAGGAAATTTGAATGGAGGGCTGGGAGTTAGCTCAGTGTTTCTGCTGCCTGCTTTGCAAGTGCAAAGTTCCGAGTTCAATCCCTGGTACCAATGATAATAATAATAATAATAATAATAATAATAATAATAATAATAATAATAATAATAATTGAATGGGGTAAAAATCCCAAATGAGAAGCAATTGTCTCCAGTCCACTCGGTCATCACTGGACCAGCTCTGGTCACTGCTGTTTTGTCACCCAGGTTCCCTGGAGAATATTCTGTGCACGTCGCCTTCAACAGTTTATCCACCCATCTTGTCGCATTCATCCCCTTCATGCTGTTTGCGCCTTTAAAAAAGTTTTCCTGGCTAGTTTTACACAAAGTACACAGAGATCTGCCTCATCCTTTTTTTAATGGCCTTGCACCATTCTCTGAAGTGAATAAACCTTGACTCATTTCCAACCCCTTGTGATAGACACTTAAGTGGTTTATAGTTCTTACTTATACCAATAATGCCATATTAAACATTTATGCACAGAATGCTTGTCCACCAGGCAAGCGTAAATACACTGGAGAAATCCCTAGCCATGGAACTGCAGGCAAAGTTGGCAGGTATGATGAGATTGTCCTTCTTGAGGTGGAAAGTTTGTTCTCTTGGCAATGGAACATGACCAGCCACTCCTCCTTCCACACAGGGGCTTTTGAGTGACACCTTTGGGTCCCAGGGTTCCCCATATGTGCCAGGAGCAAGTGTGGTCATGGTGCTAATGGTGAGGATGGAGGAGTGGGAGAAGAAGATGGGAGGCATCCAGGTTTTACTCCTCTGTTTTCTTTTGCTCTGTATTGACCTGAGAAAGGTGTCCTTGGAACCAAGTCACCTGCAGGGATTCCTCCCTCCTGGGCTGTCCATCCAGTCCTTGAGGTGGTCTCTGTGCAGAAGGAATTTCCAGCCCGTTCCCATGTCCATCAAAGATCTCTTTCCTGGGGAAGGGCATAGTGCTGCCCAGGAGGATTCTACTTTGGTCCAAACTCTCCAACAGGATTCTTACAAAGCTTGTTAAGCCACCCCCTCTGAGAGCTCTGTCCTGAGCACAGGGGCCCACCCCTTCCCTGGGGAGCTCCCAGGTGGTGCCCACCCTCTGCAGCAGTGAACAGGAGTGGGGTAGGGGCTGGGGTGGGGTGTCCCTGATAAGAAACACAGAGTGGAAGGTGGAGGGGCTCAAGTCCCATTCTGTTTCTGGACCTTGATGTTGGACGGGAGGGACCATCAGGTAGTGATACCAGAAAGGCCTCCAAGGTGAGGTTCCAGGCTCAGGAGCCCAGCTGGGGAGCAGATGAGGATGTGGAACAGCTGCGGAGAGCTCTGTGGAAGGCACGAGGGCCAGCAAAGGCTGGAGATGCTCAGTGCTCTGGTTTAGAATGGGAAAGACTTTTTGACCTGGCCATTCCAGTTATATAACAGGGCCCATGCTGACGCTCCCGTAGACGGAAGGGGATGGAGCCATTTCCGAGGAATACGACTCAATTAAGAGAGCTAAGTGCAGGGAGCTTCCAGTCAACATGAAAAACACAGCATCTTCTATCTCTGTTTCCTCTGCTGGAAGGAGAGGAGAGAAATTTTTCTAAAAGAAGAAAGAAAGCCATAGGGATAAAAAGGTCAGAAGAGATGGCAGCAGATGAGAAAGACCAACAATTTGAAAAGTGCAAAGCAGATAGACACGCGACACAGACTTAGCTAAGCAGAAAGCTGGAAAGGAAAGGAAATTGCCTGCAGCGGTTGGAGGAGAGAGTCAAGAACCTAGAAAAGGTCAGGAGCCTCGAATTTCAGGATGCAGGGTCAGGTGAAAACAGAGTTGTGTGTGATTCCTCTGTAACATACTCGGCAGCTCTGTCCCACCTTAGCGAAGCCAGGCAGTCACTGTCTGGGGACAGTGGGCTCCAGAGTAGCTGCTGATGAAGGGCCAACAGGCAAAATGAAACCTGGGATCCTCTGCACAGGACAGCCTGATTCAAAAGCCAAGGGACGCCAGGTAACAAGGAAGGAATGGGAGACAGCGTCTAACGTAAGTCATGGCATCGTGATGTCACAGAAGGTCAGAGGCAATGACAAGTCCTAAAGGCTTCCAAAAAGAAAAACATGGATTGTACACAGCAAATCAGGAATCGAGGTAGCTTTGAACTTAGATTGGAAGACAGCGGCTAAACACCTTCAAAATTCTAAGGAAAAATTTCCAATCTAAAATCAAGTCCTAGCTGAACTATTAATAAAGATGGAAGGTAGAATAGCGATATTTTTGATGTGCTAATTTAAAAATGTGATCTCTTATGGACTTTCACTGAGAAAACTTTTAAAGGATATGGTCTGTTAAAACTAGAAAATAAGACAAGAAAACAGACACAGGATCCAGACAAAAAAACAGTTTCAAAGTAGAGGAAGGAAAAGTGAGTTACAAGGAAGACAGTAGTCAGCAGGCCTGAAAGCAATCATCCAGATTGGGATTAAGGAGTTGGGGTGCAAGGGGTGGTGCCCTTAAGTAAACAAAATGAACCTACAGATCTTGATATTAACGCCATATTGAGAGGAACTTTACAGGTCTACAGAAAGTTTGTTGATGAAACAATGAGAGTACATTGAAACCTAAGCAAGAGAAATGAAGCGTATTATCAACACTGGGAAAAACCAAAAGCCTTTCATGAAAGCAAATGTAATCATGTAGCACTAAGAAACTCAGCTGTGAGCAACATTTGAATAATACACATATAATATAACAACTCCGACAAATTGTTGTATATTGGGAGGATGAGGAAAGCAGAAGCAAATAGTGAAAAATAAATCCTCTTTATAGGCGAACATCACAAGATAATATCTATCATAAAAATATTGACAAATGATAGCATCTGCCTAGTTTTTAGAAATACTATAGAAATATGAAGTAAAAATCCAAGAGAAACAGCAAGGTGGTTTGCATAATCCTGTCTCAGGAGAGCAGGCGTGGAGAGGTGAATAGGAGACACTGAGTGTTAGGAGTTTAAATTGTAAGCTTTACAGTACTTGTGTTTTTAACCTATTTAACTGTATTTCTTTGGTAAGCTAGGTTGATATATACAGGATGCTGCTATTTTTGGGAAATGAGGGACGTTCACACAGACACACACAGAAGGAGAATGTCTCCGGAAGGACGCACACAGGAACACACACTGAAAATAGGTTAGCTTTTCGGAGGCGACCTGGGTATCTACTACGTCAGGGTTGTATGGGCATGTTGTCTTTAAAGCGAGGGAACAGCTTTGACGTGGATGCTCAGGGGCTCAGGAAGTAGATGGCTACGGTGCCCAGGGGCAAAACAGCCACCCTGGACTGCCAAGGCCAAGTTGGGCCACATCAAGCCCAGTACTTTTCCTCTGTGACCTCTGGTGACACACGGTGAGTTCCCTACGAAAGTGACAGAAATGGCCTATATGGCAATACAATTGCATGGGTGTAGCCCATTGAATGAATAAAAAAGTATCCTAGAGACTAACAGGCAGAGGTAACCATTGTGGGGAGTCTTTGTCTACATTTTCCCACCTTCTTGTCTATGTTTTGGGTAAGGACATAAAACCAGGTCACCAGGCCTGGGAGGAGCAGACCACCTGTGACACACAGCAGCCACGGCTGCGCTGTCAAAAAAAGGGTCTGTTCACCCTAGATTTTTCAGCCTGTAGGACTTCTCTTTCATAACCTTTGTCACTGAGGGAGCCAGGCCCCCTTTAGCCTAAGCTTTAGCTCCCTCTCTGAATGCTGGTTAATCAGCTGTCTCACAAGCTCCTGCCTCCCAGATGTGTTTTTGAGGATTAGGCCCTTCTGGCCGTGGCCACAGACTCTGCAAAGGGGGACTCATGGTTTAATGGGCAGGGGGTGGCCTGATCTAGTCCAGACCTCTGTGGCAGGAGCCCGGGTTGACCTGGGTCAGGTTGAGCTCTTTAGATGACTTTGGCACCTTTTTGGGTTAAGTAAAAATTTCCCCTTAGCCCTGTTCAGACCAATCTGGCCACAAAGCCGCTCTTTTCCTTCCTCTTCCCTTGTTTCCTCTGTCTTTCTGCAGTACTGAGGGTTGAAGCCAGGGCCTTGAACATGCTAGTTTGGCACTTTACCACTGAGTGACGTCACTGCCTCTTAGAAGGTCACCCTTCCTTCTTAGCACCTGGAGGCTCCAACATCGCAGTCTCCATGCCCTGTCCTGACCACGAGTTCCTAGTCCTCCCACAGAGCACCGGGAGGTCTGCAGGTGGAGCGCTGCGCGTTTGCTTCCTGGAAGCAAGAGCCTGGGTGTGAGGCTCTGTCATTACTGGCTGGGAAACTGCTGTGAGCGTCTTGCCCCACTGAGCCTCTGTTTCCAGACTGATCAGAATGTGTGAAGTGAGAGTCGCAGTGTCACATCCCACGGAGTCCCATCCACCAGTGTCGCTGTGTGAGCGACGCCCGGCACTCGGCTCAGCCCCGAGCAGGCCACAGCTGTTGTTACACAGTGTCATTGTCCCTTTCTGAGAGGGAGGAGCCTGGCTCAGAGAACTGCAGTGAGCTGTCCAAGGTCACATGGAAGCAGAAGACGGGGGACTAAAATCTGCGGTGTGTAAAGTGTCTTCAGGCCATGTGATTGACCCGAGGGTGAGGGGAAGCCTGAAGAGCTGGGCCCAAAGGAGAAAGTGGGGTTGGTACTGCACCCTTGTCTAGAAACCCGGGGAAACCAGTGGAAGCTGTAAGTGCTGAGCCCTGCTCTGGCCTTGGAGGAGAGTCTTAGGGGGTGGGACACAGATCCTTTTATAAACTTACTGAAAGTTGGTCTGTTTTTTTATTATGACCCCACATCTGCAATTCTAACGACAGTGACAAATGTTCTTTTGGCTATGGCCAACCCCTCTTGCTGCAACCTGCAGAGAGGGTGCCTTTGCGGTCCTCCTAGTGGCTGGGCTGGGCACTCCTGCCCCAGTGCATTCTGGGAGAGGGCCTCTCCTAACCCACCCCACATCCCACTTTCTGGGTCCTGCTCAAACTCACTCTAAGCCTCTAGTGATAGATGGGGGTTTCTTAATTGGCAGAGGCCAGCAGGGTCATGGTGCTGTCCCCGAATATCCACGCTCCACCCCGCCTCCCATTTGCCAGGTCCCCTCTCCATGCAGCCACCTGAGAGTTCTGCCTCCCCACGGACAGCCGGGGTTGTAGCTCTCACCTCTGGTCATGCCCAGATGGGTCAGCATCCTAGCAGGAGGCAGTGATACCCTCCATCAAGGTTTCTGGAGATGAGCTAGGGGGAAGGAGCTCTTCAGGGGCAGAGGAAACGACAAGTCACCAGCTATCACCACATCTGGGCCTGGGGCACCTAGGCGAGGCTGCAGCTGTGGCCACCATCCCCTGGGCCCTCAGTAGGAGGGACAGAGAGATGCCAGAGTCTCACTGAGGCCAGGAGGGCCAGGGTGGATCTGCACCTTCTGCCTCACTACCTCCCGTTGCTTGCTGGGCTTCCCTGGGGCCAAAGCCTTCTGGAAGCCAGAGGTCCAGGGAGCCAGGCACAGCCAACAGGTATGGGCCTCCCAAGACTCTGAGCAGGGCCTGGGCAGGGCAGGGGAAGGGGGCGGCAGAAGCACAGCTTGTTTCCTTCCACTGTCCTGTGGCTGGGACCAAGGGACATCTCCTACATGTCAACAAGCTGTGACAAGATGAGCGGTGGGAGGGTAGCACAGGTGACTCTGATGTCTCTGCTGTTGGGCCCTGAGGTGCCTCCTTCTCTACCTCTGAATCTCTAGCCGTAAAATCGTCCCCAAGGTCTTCCTTTTCTTCTCTTAGTCACAAGTCCCTAAGTGCCACTCACCAAAGTTCATTTGAGTTTATAAAACCACATACCCCAGGCAAGTGGGGAGGGGGCTTTAGATCATTCACTCCTGAGTGAGAATTAATTTGATCAGGTAACTTGCCTCCCAGCACTCAGCTGAGGTTAGAGGTTTGATGAGAGAACAGAGAGGAATAGGGAAGGAGTAGAGGCCAGACAGCAGGCCTGGGTCAGGTTAGAGGGCTCCCTCAGTCACAGCCCAGCTTTGGGTTCTGCACAGCCAGAGGCACTTGGAGTACAGGAGAGAGAGAGAGAGAGAGAGAGAGGACTTCATGTGCCCGGCCAGTGCCCTGCTGACCTTTTGTGTCCCTCATCAGCCCCCGTATACGTGTGGAGATTTATTGCCTTGATGAAAAGATGGACAGACTCAGGTGGCTGCAGAACCTTGCTCCAGGTCTCAGCCACTATGTGACAGAGTTGACATTTGAACTTAGCACAGCCCCACCAGGTGGTGCAGGATGGGGTGTCATCCAGGCCTCTGGGCCCCAGGTCACTACCGGCTCCTCTCCACAGCTGCCCTCCTGGTCGGCAGAAACCTGTGTTCGGGGTGGAGTTACAAGGACAGAGGGTGAGGGGTCTTCCTCTCTTGGCTGGGGGCAGAGTTCCCTCTCGCCCTTTTCTCTCTGGGGAGCCCAGCCATTTCACCCTCCGCCTGTCACTTACAAAGTGCCTTGGACTGGCACAGCGGCCTATGGGCAGACAGGTGGACACTGGGGACCGTAGGAAGACCCTTTGGTGCTGTATGTAATCTGCTGGAACTGCTTGCTGCCCGGTAGAGCCCACCATGTGCTGAGAATACGGCCGGCAGATGGGCAGACAAGGGGGCACGCTGGCATCTCTACCTGCACCCAAGGGACTGACTGAGACCCGACAGAAACTGCTGCGACTGTTCCGGGTGACAGGGCACCGTCGCTCGCCTTCCCCCCTGCCAGCTCCTCTTGGCCTTCCTCGGGATGTGTGGGGTACTCGGAAGGGCTCAGGACGTCTCAGGAGGGTTATCACCGCCTTTCTACGCTGCTCCGTCGTCGAGGTCCCCTGCCCCCAGAGAGACACCCTCCACACAGAGGGGACACCGCAGCGGCCCCACGCCCTGCCTTTCTCACCTCTCTCCTCAGCATCCACAACACCTTCCTGAAGCTCTGCCCTGCGGGCAAGTATTACAAGGAGGCCACACTGACCGTGGACCAGGTCAGCTCCCTGCCAGCCCTGAGGGTAAGTCCAGGACTGGGCAGGGTGGCAAGGCACAGACCGCCGAGGGGCTTCACCGGTGCCTCTCTGAGCTGTGCTCAGAGGGGCTACGACCTCCAGTCAAGAGTCCAGCAGAATTTGGTTTCCCAGCGCTTCTCTCACGCATCTGCCCCTGCTCCATCAGGCCTGGAGCAGGACGGTGCACTGGGATGGGGTAGAGAGGGCTGGGACCTGGCCCAGGGTTTACAGTTGGAAGCCAGGGCCCAGCTGGAGGCTGTCCCGGTCCTGTCCGCCGACCTCCAGTCCCTTGGCCCACCCTTGACCCCTCACCTTAGCAACCTTGCACCAGCCAGGCCCCCTGCCCTCTTGGCCTCAATCTGGGCAAATGCGAAGGCTGGGCTCCCTACAGGGCCCTCGGGGCACCCCTCAGGCCATCTGCCCAGCCCTCGCAGCCCTGCTCTTCTGCATGAGAGCTGGAGGGACTGAATGTTCTCAGGTTCTTCCCACAGAAGCTATCAGGAAGAACGGGGCTTACTGCTAGGGACCTGTCCTCCCAACCTGCCCCTCCACCTCCAGCTGTGGGTGGAGGGACGGACGGTGGTACTTGGGCTGCTGATGCCCTCTCCTCATCTCTCCCTCAACTTATCCAGCCCTCTCTGAGCTAGAGGTTCCCATTAAATAAAGGGGTAACCCAAGTGCTCATACCATCTCCCCACTTTTAACTGGGCTGCATCCTACATTCTACCCACGCAGGAGGGACACACACACACACACACACACACCCCTCGCCACAGTGTGCCCTCGAGCAACCCACTTCCCAGGGCCGACATCCTCTCCTGTGCACGGATGGGAGGTGGAGGGGCTGGCAGGGGGTCACCAGAGCCCACTGAGCCTGCAGGGATTGCCAGCTCGCTTCCCATCTTCCAACCCTTTGGGGACTGGCGGAGTCCTTGTCTCTGTTACGGGAAGCCCGGCAGAGCCCTGAGGTGCACAATGAAAGGGCTCCCAAATCACTCCTGAGATTTTAATTAAAATCTGTACAACACCAAGAGAGGCGATGTCAGCTTAGCAAATCACGGCGCTGGCAGACTTCCCTATTCCTCATGTGGATCTTGGCGGAATAGTGATTGGAGTTTGTCATCATGCAGTGAGCTCTTCTTCCTTTCTGTCTGGAAGGAGCTGGGCCCCTAGAGCAGCACCTTCGGGTGCTGAAGGAGAGGCTCCAAGGTTGGGGGGCGGATGCAGTCGCTCAGCCAGTGGCTGCAGGGCCCCTCCTAAGCGACACCTTGCTCCAGACAGAGGCAGAGACAGAGTTTGAAGGACACAAAGCTGGGGCTCTCGGTGGCTGTGGGAATGGAGAGGACCGTAGCACAAGCAGGGCTGGGCACAGCTGGGGTCCGGGCCTGAGAAGCCGAACTCTCAAAACGGTGAAACATGGGAGAACGTGTCTGTGCCAGACACAACACGGGGAGCCTGCTTTTCCTAAGCCCACACGCACTCACCTGCACCCGGTTTGCAGGCACACTTCCCCTGTGCTCAACCACGTGTGCAGGCGCCGGGCCGGCCTTGGGACGCAGACACCCACCGGGCAATCTGATGCTGAGCTGGAAAGTAACTCGAGGCCACCACCGTCCGCTCACTCTCAAGTGGCCCCTCCCTGGCTTTGCCCATGGACGCCCAAGGTCAGAAGGAAGACTTGCCCGTGGCCAAGAGATGGCAGAGCTAAGTCATCCCGGCTCTTGGGCCCCCATGTAGGACTCAGACCCCAGCGAGGCCTCCAGCCCTCGGGCCTGTGCTGAGCTTGGCGCCCCCAAAGGAAAGACCTGCCCTGGGGTGCTGGAGCCTAGGTTGGTGGGGCAGGGTGTGCCCTGGGGTCGGGTCAGGGGGCCTGCGGGTCACACTGCGTGTTGGTTCCATTTCCTGGTCCTGCGGGGCCCCCTTGTGCTGAGTAGAGCGCTGGGCCGCCATCTCCTTGGCCCCTGCCCTCCCTTCCCTCCTGTCTTGGGCTCAGGAAGAACGGGGCATGGTGGGGCTCGCTGTGGAGTTGGTTCCAGGTGACAGGACACCCCCAGGGTACCGCCATCTTGGCTTTTTCAGGAGCACCAGTGCCCCCACCCCCTTAGTCATTGGAAAGCGACTGGGAAGAGGGCTCTGGGCTGCATGGCCTTGATTTTACTTGTTTAACCTTCCTAAAGGCTCATGACCTTATTTTGCTTTACAAATAAACGCCGGTTTGTTGCAGGAAAATTACAAAAGACAGAAAAGCAGACATAAGATGAAAACTACCTGTCAACTCACCTTCAGGGATGATGCCGTGGCCCTTTGGCTTATTTCCTCCCAGGCTTTTCATTCGGTGCAGATGTGTGCATGTTTAGCGGGACCTCATCGACTTCTTTGTATGCCCACCTCCCCCATTGGTGGTTTATTTGTTGCTTTTCCTGCTGGCCTAGAATGGCCAGAACCATCTCATGAAGTGAGGACCCCGAGCCACTGCCATGGAGAGAGAAGCAGAGGGCAGTTTCGAACTCACTTGCGAGTGATCTTGGCAGAGTCACTCACCAGAGAAATGACTGGGGTGGGAAGCAGAGGAGCGATCGGACCCCAGCCTGAGGCCTGCGGGAGCTGTGCAGTGTGTTTTCCTGGTCTCGCTCTATGGACTCGGGTACCTGTCCACCCCATTCCTGCACTACGGGAGAAAATACTTTCCAGTCACCAGAGCTGTGCATCAGGAGATGGGCTGCCTGTCGCTGGGGGGGAACCAAGCAGGGCGGCCAGGCCCCCGGCAGGAGTGTGTGGCATGTGTGCATTCCAGGGAGACTGGACTAGACGCCCTGTGCCTTCCTCTCCTCCCGGAACCTGTGTTTCTGGCCCCAGGGCTTGTTCGCACTCTTTGTGTCATCTACCATAGTGCGTCCTAGACTTTTTATTTATAAAAAATTATTTTGAGGAGGGACTAGAGATACCAACTTTCAATACTGCCAAGTAAAGACATTAAAAGCTGTGCCATCCACATTCACCATCATTTCATTTTTTTAAAATGTTAATTTGAAAACAAGAACGAAAGAAGCATCTCATTTCAAAAGCAAGAGCTGTTCTTTCCCAACGTATCCGTTTTTGTCCTTATTTTTCTCCCTCTGTCCCCGGTTGTCAACAACACTGTCACTGACCCATCACTGGTCCTCAGCTTAACTGGCAGAGCTTAAAGCTAAGACTGAGGTCTCTCTCTTTTGCATCTTTCCAGTGCTGGACTAAGCAGGAGCCTTTCTTCCCAAGGGGAGAAGGGGAGGCCTTCAGGAAGGTAGGGCCCGGGTGGGCCTGTGTCCTCTGTGGCCCAGGGACGGGAGTAGCATGACTCACACAGCCCAGAGGCCTTCTTCGGAACAGGCCTGGAGAACAGGGCCCCAGGGAGCACCCGGGACGCATATAACTTGGCTCAGGGGCTTGAGTGGTCTGGGAAGAAACTTCTGTTTTCTTAGCTTGGGTTCCCTCATGGAAAAAGTGGGCCTGGTAGTATTGGGAGGGGTCTTGCCTGCCAGCAGAGAGCAAGGGGCCAGAAGGTCCTGAGTAGCAGAGGGTATCGCGAGAGACCATTGACAGAGGCCCCTGCTGGGCTGGGACACGGTGCCCCTTCGCCACGCAGCTCCTGAGTTCACCTCGTGCGCCGTATTCGGGTCTTTAATTGTCAGTTAGCTGAATGTTTCTGTTCCTGTAAATATTCTCGCTTTCTGTAAACACAAGGAGCGCAGAGTGCAGTGACTCAGGTTTCTGGTTTCCAGGCTCAGAGCATCTCTCTGTGTCCACCCAGACACTGACGGAGGGGCTGGAGCACAGACCCGGGGCTTGGTGCTGGTGGAAAGGCCTCACTCTGACCAGACCGCCTCTTCCACCCGTCTCTTCTCAGCCACAGCCCCCACCCACCCATCCCGGGCTGCACGGGCTGGACGCAGCCTCAACTCTGACTGAGCACAGAAGATTTAGGAAAGACACTCCAGGTGTAAGGAGGCATGAGACGTGGGCTCTGGGGGCTTCAGCTCCATCTCAGTTTTTCTGGGCCTTTCTGAATCCTGCTGATGGGCTGGGGCCTATGTTCTAACAGCTCGCAGAGAACCTATCCCCGAAGCTGAATTGCAACAAAAAGTCCTAATATTTATTCAGCTTCTCAAGAAATTGCCAAAGTAGGAAATGTACAGTTGAGAGTGTATTCTTTTCATTTTAATTTTTAAATTTTTAAACACTTGAAAATCAAAACTATGCATGCCAAGAATTAAACTGTCGTATCTAAGGCCAACATTTCAACTCTTAGCTGATTCTTTCGATGGCTCCATACCCCCAAAGAGAGCAGTTGTGTTGCCCTTCCTGTCAGTTTGGCCTTTGAGTGCACCTAGGGAAGGAAGGCTTTTAGCTCTTTCCCCTCCCCATGACTATCGTACTCTCCGCACCCTCCAGTCTGCTTGTAGGACCATTTGGAGTAGAGCAACATTTGGTGCCGTCTTCTTCAGCTTTTTTGGTACTATAACAAAATACCTGAGTCAAGCTACTTTATAGAAAAAACAGGTTTATTTCACTCAGGTTTGGAGGCTGGTGGGATGTGTATCTCTGTGTGGTCCCTGTTCTTTTAAAGCCACCAGAATTCAGTTATGGCTCCGCTTTACTGATTTCATCTGATCTAACCGCTTCCCAAAGGCCCTACTTCCAAATACCATGGTAGGATGAAGTTTCTGTCCCCTTACGACCATTAACATAAAACTTGGAGGATGAAGTTCTTGCCTGAGTTTGGGAGGACAAATAACACAAACCATAGCGCGTGTGGGCACTGTAATGACTGCACACACATTGGAACTGAGCTCTGACATGACCTGTGGTTATTTCCCCTTTTCACCGTGGTGCCCTCCCTTCGTCTTCCGTGCCAGCTCTTTTCTGACTTTTCCTTCAAGGTGCTTTTTCCACTTGCTCGTCGAGATTCTTGTCTTTCATGTGAGAGGCCTTCTGTGGAGAGTTGGTGATCGTGTGTCCATAACAGAGTG